TTAATATTAATACTCTACTAATAGCTCAAAATCCTCGATTTTGGCCAACCAAACAGTTGTCTTTTTTAGAAAATACACCAAGAGCGGCCCAACCAATGTAACATGGTGGGCTTCATGTTGGACCTCTAGATGGATGTTTAAGGCGTGAGGCCCATGAGTGCAATACCTGCTAGACAGAATCAGGGCACCAGTGCATTGAAAATCGACAGGGACCACAAGACCGAGTTCTATCGTAATTTCGGCATTCACAAAATACTAGTCTTCCGTTATGCTACTGCTCTTTACAATCGATCCTCCTAACTCTTATTCAACACTGTCGTTTTCCCAGTTCCGTTAATGTTCGTTTCATGTTTGAATTTTGCTGATTTCTCTCCGACGTTTTCACTGGCAATTGCCCTTATCATCCACGAAAGCACAATCTAGATTACTGATCCATGTTCATCTAAATTACTTCAAATTCAGCGTCATTTAGTTTGATATTGCTCTAATTATTGATTTTGTTGGCTCCGGGAAGTTAATGTTTTGTTTAAAAAGTTTTTTGTTTCCATGAAAACGTTTCTCTATCTGGTCAGTGTGGACTTGGTCCGTTCTCAATGACCTTGAAACAAGATTCATCGTGTTGCCTTTTTATTATCTCTCCTTCAACTCTTTTCCTTCCTTTTTGGAAGAACACTGGACCAACAAGAAATTGTTGGATTTGGAGTCTTGGACTCCTATCTGCTTGGTCTATTAGAAGGCGTTACAATTAGCACCTTTATCTCATTCAATCTAAGAATCAGTACCCAGAATACAAAAGTATTTCCATGTGGACAAGATCAAAGAGACTGTTCATTGTTCGTTACAAAGATTGCAGCAGGAAGACATGGCCAAGAAGTGCGTCTGCTTCCCTGTAATCCTTTAAGTTTGTTGTGGCCTGTGAATCTGTAGCAATACTGATGTCATAAGAACAATGACGCTTCTGCATGTAGCAACAATGGCGTCAAAGAACAAAGATGCTACTGTATGTAGTCTTAGCAGAAGCATTGGATGATTTGGGCTATCCCTAAGCTGGAAAAGGGAAGTCCATAGGCTACTCTATTCTTGTCACACGCCTTGAAATTGGTAAATTTCCATACCAGTAGCAAGATATTAGGACACCCCTCCTGCTGAGAGCACAATTGTACACCTATAAAAACTTGTATAATTCAGATTCAAGCAGGCATAAAACTTGGGTGTATCATAAGAGTCTTCTCAAAAGTTTAGGCATAATGGTTAATTAAGATTTACTAAAGATAAAGCAAGCATACCAGAATTATCTTACACTGGATGAAAGCTGTTTTGGTTTTTTCCTCCAGCAATTGCTTGCTTATTTGACGATGATCTGTTAAGAGTTAGAGTCAACGATCAATGCAAAATAATTAGTGAACGCCCATTCAATTGATAGTTAACTTTAATATAAGTTGAAGTTAAAAGATAAAAACAATAATAATACTAATACTTTGGGATCGAAGCTATATTTAAGGCTTGACCGGCTTACCATTATAGCCAA